TCTTCTCGCCCCCTCGGAGGACCTGGGAAGACGAGCATCGGCGACTCCCCAAGCTGCTCCCCAGAGGTCCAACTCACCCCAACACGCATGCGCGTTTCAAGGCCTGTGGCCTCATTGTGCCGTTTCGCTTCCGATGGGCTTCTCGGGCCTCAGGATTGCTCAAAGTCGCCCAGGATAGCTCCGATCGGGCGCACCAGGACTCCAAAGAGGCTCAGACGACCCCCAAGAGCGCCCCATGAGCTTCCCGAAAGGGCTCCAAGAAGGGGCCCAACATGGCCCGATCAATAAGTGGCAGGCCCCTCGCTAGCCCCAAGCATCTCCAAGAGGCGCCAAGCTAGCCGCAAGGTGGCATAAGGCGGCCCCCAAGAGGCCTAAATCATTCAAACACTTGCATGAGTCGTTCTCCAGATGTGTGCCTCCTTTCTGTTTCGCTTCCGGTGGGCGTCTGAAGCCTCAAGATTGCCCTGGTACCACCTATATATCTCCAATTGGAGCCGCGAGGGACTCCAAGAAGGCTCAAAGGATTCCCAAGAGCGCCCCCGAAGCGCATCGAGAGGACTCAAAGAGGGCAAAAGACTAGCACACGAGCGTGGATCAATGGATGAAAGGCCGCCGGCAGGGCGGTCCTGTGATCTCGCTCTCCGCCCATCTAGCTGCGCAAATCGGCTTTTTTAGTGGGCCGATTTACGCGGCTGAGCCCTGCCCAGCTAGTTGCTCAAACCCAGCCAGCTAGCTGTGCAAATCGGCCCCACTAGTGGGCCGATTTGCGTGGCTAGGCTCCCGCCCAGCTAGCTGCGCAAACCCGCCCAGCTGCGCACACTTGCTTCTTCAGCGGGCCGAGTTGCGTGGCTAGGCCCCTGCCAAGTTAGCTTCACAAACCTGGTTCTTTAGTGGGCCGTTTTGCCACCCAGCTAGCTGCGCAAATCGCCCCTTTCGTGGGCCGAGTTGCGTGGCCAGGCCCCTGCCTAGCTAGCTACGCAAACCCGCCCAGATAGCTGCCCATCAGTGGGCCGATTGGCGTGGCTAGGCCTCCACCCAGCTAGCTGCGCAAATCGGCATCTTCAGTGGGCCAATTTGCACGGCTAGGCCCCCTCCCAGTTAGCTGCGCAACTCTGGTCCTTTAGTGGGCTGGTTTGCGCGGCGAGGCCACCGCCGAGCTGGTTACGCAAATCGGCCCCTTTGGTTAGCCGGTTTGCGCGGCCAGCCCCCCGCCCAGCCGGCTGCGCAAATCTGGTGTTTCCGATTTGCGCGGCTAGGACTAGGCCCCCGCCCAGCTAGCTGCCCAAATCGGCTCATGTAGTTTGCCGACTTGCGCGGCCAGGCAACCGCCACGCCAGCTGCGCAAATCGGCCCCTTCAATGGGCCGATTTGCGCGGCTGCACAAATCGGCCGCTTTAGTAGGCCGATGTGTGCGGGTAGCCCCACGACCAGCTGGCTGCGCAAATCGGCCCATCTAGTGGGCCGATTTGCGTGGCTGGGCCCCGCCCAGCTACCTGCGCAAATCGGCCCCTTCAGCGTGCCAACTTGCTCGGCGAGGGCCCCACTCAGCTGTCTGAACAAATCGGTTCTTTTCGTGGGCCGATTTGAGCGGCTAGCCCAACTGGCTGAGCAAATCGGCCCCTTTGGTGGGCCGATTTGCGAAGCAAGGCCCCTTCCCAGCTAGCTGCACAAGTCGGCCCTTTAGCGTGCTGATCTGCGCGGCTAAGCCCCCAACCGGCTAGCTGCGGAACACGGCATCTTTAGTTGGCTGATTTGCGCCGCAAGGCCCCCGCCAAGCCAGGTGCGCAAATCGGCCCCTTTAGTGGGTGGAAATGCGGCTGACCCTTCGCCCAGCTAGCTGCGCAAACCAGCCCCTTTCGTGGACTGATTTGCGCTGCTAAGCGCCCAGCCAATCCAGCTGCGCAAATCGGCCCTCTGGTGGGTCGATTTGCGCCGCAAGGCCCCTACCCAGCTTGCTGCGCAAATCGGCTCCTGTGGTTTGCCGATTTGCGCAGCGAAGCCCCCGCCAATGTGTCTCCGCAAGTCGGCCCCTTTAGTGGGCTAATTTGCGCAGCTAGGCCCCCGCCCAGCTAGCTTCGCAAATCGAGAAGCGAAGATCTCATAAGGTTCCAAGCAGATGACGTGCTCAGACTCTGCGGATTGAGCACCAGACCTCCAGCTGCCAGGGCACTCCGCGGGCTGGATTATTGAGCACCTGGAGTGGAGCTACGGTCCTCGATAGCTCAGTGGTTAAAGCAATGGTTTACCAAGGCGAAGGTCTAGGGCTCAATGCACAGAGCCTGAACGCGCTATGCTCCAGCCCCTCCACGCCCCGTAGAAAATAAGCATTCGACGTGGGAGCAGACACATGCGCACCTCATGTTTGACACTCGCTTCTGGTAATGAGGATGACGATTTTGAGGGGGATGGCGATGTTGATGAGGATGGTGCTGTCAGCGAGGATTTCGATGTTGATGAGGATGGCGATATCAGCGAGGATTGCGATGTAGATGAGGACTGCGATGTTAGCAAAGATGGCAATGCTGATGAGGATGGCGATGTTCACGAGGATGGTGGCGACATTGAGAGGCAGACAAAGTTTCGCGCGTGTTCTGTTTCATTGGCCTCTCTTTGTCTTTAGTTTTCTCTCTCTCTCTCTATCACTCTATATGTCCCACTCTTTGCTTTAGTTTAAAGAGAAGTACTAGTAAAATGATCCTGGCGAAGGACCCAACCATATGCAATTGTGAATACTGCAATTGTGAATATCTTCTCGGTGGAGCCCCCTACGGGGCCACGAAACGTACGAAGGGTGTGCCGAAATGGGTGTGCGGGACGCATGCGGGCACACCCACTGGGGCCTTCGGTGGAGCTCCCTATGGGGCCACGAAACGTGTGAGGGGTGTGCCGAAATGGGTGTGCGGGGCGCATGCGGGCACACCCACTGGGACCTTCGGCGGAGCTCCCTATGGGGCCACGGAACGCGTGAGGGGCGTGCCGAAATGGGTGTGGCTGACGCATGCGGGCGCGGGCACTGGGGCCTTCGGTGGAGCTCCCTATGGGGCCACGAAACGTGTGAGGGGTGTGCCGAAATGGGTGTGGGTGACGCATGCGGGCGCGGGCACTGGGGCCTTCGGTGGAGCTCCCTATGGAGCCACGAAACGTGTGAGGGGTGTGCCGAAAAATGGGTGTGGGTGACGCATGCGGGCGCGGGCACTGGGGCCTTCGGTGGAGCTCCCTATGGAGCCACGAAACGTGTGAGGGGTGTGCCGAAATGGGTGTGGGTGACGCATGCGGGCGCGGGCACTGGGGCCTTCGGTGGAGCTCCCTATGGAGCCACGAAACGTGTGAGGGGTGTGCCGAAATGGGTGTGGGTGACGCATGCGGGCGCGGGCACTGGGGCCTTCGGTGGAGCTCCCTATGGAGCCACGAAACGTGTGAGGGGTGTGCCGAAATGGGTGTGGGTGACGCATGCGGGCGCGGGCACTGGGGCCTTCGGTGGAGCTCCCTATGGAGCCACGAAACGTGTGAGGGGTGTGCCGAAATGGGTGTGGGTGACGCATGCGGGCGCGGGCACTGGGGCCTTCGGTGGAGCTCCCTATGGAGCCACGAAACGTGTGAGGGGTGTGCCGAAATGGGTGTGGGTGACGCATGCGGGCGCGGGCACTGGGGCCTTCGGTGGAGCTCCCTATGGAGCCACGAAACGTGTGAGGGGTGTGCCGAAATGGGTGTGGGTGACGCATGCGGGCGCGGGCACTGGGGCCTTCGGTGGAGCTCCCTATGGAGCCACGAAACGTGTGAGGGGTGTGCCGAAATGGGTGTGGGTGACGCATGCGGGCGCGGGCACTGGGGCCTTCGGTGGAGCTCCCTATGGAGCCACGAAACGTGTGAGGGGTGTGCCGAATGGGTGTGGGTGACGCATGCGGGCGCGGGCACTGGGGCCTTCGGTGGAGCTCCCTATGGGGCCACGAAACGGTGTACTGGGTGGGTGAAGAGGAGAGGAGGAGAGGAGAGGAGGAGAGGAGAGGAGAGGAGAGAAGAGGAGAGGAGAGGAGAGGAGTGGAATGATGATGATAATGATGATGATAATGATGATGATGACGACGATGATGATGATGATGATGATGATGATGATGATGATGATGATGATGATGATGATGATGACGACGATGAGGATGATAGGAGGGGAGAGGAGGCGGAGGAGGAGAGGAGGAAGGAGACGCGGGGCACCGTCTCTTCAAAACGAGGACCCAACACCACAGGATGGTTGGAAACAATCTTCTGGAAGCAAAGGAGAGTCAAGATCACAGGACCGTTCTCCCGCCGAAAGGCCCCAAGATGGCCCACAAAAAGCTCCAATCTACTCCAGGACGGCCCAGAGGTAACCTAAGGTGGTCCAATACAGCCTCTAAGAGGTTTCAGGAAGCTCCTGAGAGGTCCCCATAAAGCTTCCCAGAAGATCACAGGATGCCTTCAAATGTTCCCACAGCCTACGAAGGGGGTCAGCATAACATGAATACTTCGATGGAATCAATGATTGTTGCCGTCATGTGGTTTTGGGCTTCGGTGTAGAAGCTTGGGTGGGACGTGTTCCGCGGAGTGTTGCCCTCAATATACCCTGCGGCTGCTTCTTCCCAGCGCAAGTTTCACACGACTCTCTGGGGAAGCTGGCACAGAACAACGTGTTTCCAATCACCACGAACATACAAGCATACAGGACCCGTCGTGAAACATGGTCCGGCGGAAAGCGCGAAGCGGTTTATCACGATGTCTTCAATGAACACCTGCTGGGGGGGCAGTCTACTGGACGTGACACTGGAGGTAATTTCAAGTCAACTGCCAAGTCTACACTCTGTTCTGGACTGAGGGCGCGGCGATAGATTCTGCAAGCAACTGGGTATTACAGCATGTGGGCATCACCCAGCAGCGTGCAAGCTCCACAAAGCGGGAATTGTTTTGCCGAGCGGTTCGGAGCACATGATGGCGTGCAGTCTTAAGAGCTACAACCTGTCTAGTCTAAGCTACATGAGCATGGAAGTGTCAATATCATAATCATAACTCATACTGTGAGTTGCGTTCCGGATCACGTTCTTGAGCGCCTGACCAGTCGCCAGGGCGTCGAAGTTGGACGCTATCTGGACGTAGTCCTCGTCCTGTGCCTCCTGTGTGGCCCCGCTCATGTGCGAGGTCATCCAGACGTTCGGCAGGGCACTGAAGTTGTACTCCGAGGGCCACATCTGCCCTGGCATCAACCAAGCAAAGGACCTCCACCACACGTCCAGAACCGCCCCGCCTATCTTTCGCTCGCTGAGGGCTTGGAACAATGCCGCCTCGTCAACTATCGCCCCCCTTGCGATATTCACCAAGACGCCCTGGGGCTTCATGCGCGCGATCGCCGAAGCGCCGATCAGACCCTTGGTGGCGGCATTGAGCGGGCACGCGACGACAACAAAGTCGGCCTCCTCCATCAGCTGCGGCAGCATGTCGTCACCTGGCAGGCCCCCGTCACGCTCGGCAGTCCGATCCCCTCCCCCTGCCCTCCCACGCGGGGCAGGCGGGGAGGAGGGACCGGGGATGGGAGTGGCAAGTGGGCATGGGGCACAGAGTCCGAGCCATGCGCCCTGCCGCCGCGGCGGCGGGATCCCCGGAAGAGCGGGAGCGGCGACGAGGAGCCCGAGGGCCCCGCCAGACAGGTGCCAGCCACGGCCCCCCCGGGGAGGGGAAGGCCGTGGCCATGGCCCCACCACCCGCCGCTGGGACAAGGCGGGGAGGAGGACGACGACGGCAGGGGCGGGGCGGGGCGGCGACACACGGGTACGCTGTCTGGCCCTGTGCGAGGCTCGTAAGCCGCACGTGCGAAGGGGCATGAGTTCTCGACGTCGGCGTGCTCCGAGGGGCGAGAGCGGGGGCGACGAGAGCATGAGGCCCTTCTCCTCCTCCTCCTCCTCCTCCTCCCTCCTCCTCCTCCTCCTCCTCCTCCTCCTCCTCCTCCTCCTCCTCCTCCTCCTCCTCCTGGCCACGCCTTCTCCTGAAACGCACACCACGGCATCCCGATTCTACTTCAATCCACCGAAACGACGGCCAGCGCCCACGTGCACGAGAGGGGGCGTCGTCGACGACGACGACGCCGACGATGACGACGATGACGACGACGACCGCATACCACGACGACGACGACGACGACGACGACGACGACGACGACGACGACGACGACGAGCGGGAGAGGGCGGACAAGAGGAGGCAGACAAGAGGGGGCAGACAGGAGTTTCAGAGTCTCAGAGCCCCGGTGTCTTGACTTTGTTCGCTGTGGGGTCCCTGGAGCTCTGGACCACGCCTTTCGTCCTAGACCAGCTTCCTGACGGCCCAGAGGCCAGGCGAGGTCCCCCAGACGCCGAATGTGACAAAAACCTCCGTCTTGCGCTCTTTCGCAACGTTGGAGGTCTGGAGTCTTGGCTCTAGGTGGTTGGTCCTCAAACCAAAACTCGGGCCTCCAGCGGCCGTTTGGGGCGATCTGGGCAGCCCTGGGACGCTCTCGGCGAGGCGCAGCTGCTGGAAAGCACCCCGAGGCGAGTAAACCGCCGAGAACCACCGAGAATCGCCAGACGCCGAAAACGGGTCAAGCCTCCGTCTTGAGTTTTTCAATACGTTGGATAAGGCGACGAGATCTATACATGTCCACTGCTCCCTGGCCAGGCCCATCCTGAACCCAGCAGCTGTGCACACGCTCCTGGCCAAGCCAGGCGGGCCTGGCGTATACACCGCTGGCGGGTTCAGGAGGGGGGTGGCCGGGGAGCAATGGAGGTGTAGAAATCTCCTCGCCCTGTGGGTGTCTGGGGCTGCGGCCGTCACCACCGACCCACGCCAGCGGTGCGGGCGGGGAGGCAGGCACCGGGTAGGTGACCGCCACCACGCGCATGCCGAAGGCCGCGGCGCGCAGCGCGACGCCCGTGCCTATGACCCCGTAGCCCACGATCCTGGGCTGGACAACTATTGTGGGGCCGGCTCCCGGGCAGGAGCACACATAAGACGAAGCCAGGACGAGGATAAGACCGGGGAAGTACAAACCGAGAATCTCTGAGATCCGGCGGCTCTGGAGGATGTCTCGTCGGGCGCCGCGGCCTTTTCGGAGCGTTCCAGAACGCTCTCAGAACGTTCCGGAACGCTCTGGAATGGATTTATCCTCGTCCTAGCCCCGTCCGTAGACTGTAGACGGACCTACCCGTTCTCCGACCATGTTCTGCGCCGGACGCAGCGGCCGCGCTGTCTATTGAGCATCCATCCCGAAGGTGTCTATAGATGCGCAACGACACCCAACATGTCTATAGACGCTTGTGACCAGAAAGTGAGAAGGATATTTGGTATTTCGCGCAGGCCCGACATATTGGCCTTCTAGACGCAGGTAAGTTTGCCATCCAAATCCTGGGTCCTGTGGAGCCTACAGAGATTGGCGCCAGAGTACCGCGAATCCAACAATGGCAAAAATAAAAAACGCTAGGGCCAATAATCAGAAATGCTTGAGCGGCCCAGGATCGCCAGAGCCGCGTCTCTTGACATCACGCGAATTTTCGCAGGCAGCAACAACTCTCTACATTCACTGCCCTGACTGTGGATCCACCCTACTTTGCAGTTTCGTAAGCAAGCCGGAGATTTCCGCCCTGCTTCTCAAACTCCTTTGACGTCGCTGTTTCCGCCCTACTTTGCCGTCGCTGTTTCCGCCATTCTTTTGCCGACGATATCCGCCCCAACTGTTCTGACGCGCTGCATTTCCCGCCCTGCTTTTGCACGTCGTTCGGGGTGCCATTGCGACACACTTGCCAGCCAGAAATTTCCAGAACACGACGGACCGAGAGTCACGGTGCTGCGGGGTCGCGTCCTGTGCACTGGGAAGGCGGTGGATGTGCACGTCTGCCGGCCCACGGGGGCGGGCAGACATCAAGATCCACCACTCCTCGAGACCTCAGGGCGCGACCACGAAGCGATGGATGTGGACATGCTCTGGCGGCGTAACGGCGACGAAGGGGCTCCCGAGGTTTCGAGGTTCTCGGGGCTTTTCCTTGCTTTTCGGCGGCCTTCCAGCCTCGGGACGCGTTTCTTTAGCTGCGCCTCGCCGAAAGCGTTCCTGGGATGCCCGGGTCGTCTCGAACGGCCGCCAGAGGCCCGAGTTCGGGCCCCCCCGAAACCAAAAAACTATCATGATGTTTGATGTGGGCCGTTGCCCCGCCTCCCGGGAGAGAAGGAGGGAGGAGGGGGAGGGGGAAGGGCAGGAGCAGGGGAAGTAACGGAGGAGGGGATCGACGGGCAGGTGTACTCTTTCCGCCCCCCAGTTCCCGATCGTCTGGCCCTTGGCGGAGCGGTGCAACGTGGTCGGCTGGCATGTGTTCTCCGCGTGCCAGGTGCAGCTGCGAAACTCAGCGTCCACTTGGGGAAGCTGGATGTTCCACGACAGCACGGCTGCCATGACGTACTCGGGAATGGACACCCCGCCTTGGTGGACGTCGCACACGGCGAAGCGCCCAGGCACTGCCGACATGTTCAGCAGCTCTGTTCCTGTGAACGACCACTGCAGCAACCGACCCGCGGGCATCCTGTCCATGAGGGCGCTGAGCCTGGCAGGCGCCCGGAGCGTGTCGTCGGGCGGTATCAGCGCCACCGCCGACTCGAAGTCCGCCGCCGTCGCGTTGCGAGGGTCGACGAGGCGCCACTCGGTGCGCAGGGCCGCGGACAGAGGCGCGTGCCTCGGGGACAAAAGGAACGCATGTGCCAGCACCAGGCATCCGCAAGGCCATTTCTGGGGTGGCATACGCTCAGTCCCTAAACAACTTGATTGCAAGGGTGCTAGATTGATTCTCAGGAGCCGACAACGGGGTAACCAGAATCTCCCGTTACCTTTCGTTGTCTCCCGTTGTTTCCAGTTGCCTCCCTTTGTTTCATACTGTCTCCCATTGTATCCCGTTGTTTCCGTATCCCTACATCCCTGCCCCTTATATCCCTAGCCCTAAATCCATCCTCTTATCCCATTCGTATTCGTATTAGTCTGCACGTTCGTAATTGTCGTTCTATTCGTATGTCTCCCGCTGTCTCCCGTTGTCGCCCCCTGTCTCCCTATACAAATCCCTACCTCTAGGAATCTACGACTGTCCCTGACCAATTGTCCCTATCCGATATCCCTATCCTAATCCCGATCCCAATCCTTACATCCCTCTCCTACGAACCCTAGCCCTATATCCCTGCCCTTCCCTAAATCCCAACCATCCTGTAGTTTGGGTCCTTGTTTTGAAGAGACAGCGCCCCGCCTCACTCCTTCCTCCTCCCGCTCCTCCCTCCTTCCATCCCTGCCTCTGCTCTCCGCATATCCGTTCCGGAACACTCCGCACGCGCTTCGCGGCCCCATAGCGACTTTCAACTAAAGCCCAAACGCCCCACGTTTCGCATGGCGTCGCCGCCTCATTTCGGCACGCCCATTACATGCTTCGCGGCCCCATAGGGAGCTCTATCGAAAGCCCCAATGGCAGGGTTCGCATGCCGCCACCGCGCCCATGTCGACACACCCCTCGAGCGTCTCGCGGCCCTATCAACAGCTCGACCGAAAGGCCTAGTGACAGGGTTCGCGTGCCGGCGCCGCACCCATTCTGGCTCGCATGGCGCCGCCGCCCCATGTCTGCACGCTCCTCACAAGCTTCGTAGCCACACAGAGAGATCCACCGAAGGAGGCTCAGTGGCAAGATTCGCATGGCAGCACCGCCCCATGTCGGCATACCACTCACACGTCTCGTGGCCCCGCAAGGAGCTCTGCCAACGGCGCCAGTGCCAGCGCTCGCAAGGCAGCACCCCCCATTTTGACACACACACACACGCGCACCTCACGCGCTGTTGGGCCCCATTGGGAGCTCCTCTTCATTCGTCCCAGCTGCCTTGCGGTACTCACGCCTGCACATGGTTGATTGAATCCTTCGCCAGGGCCATTTTTTCGCATTCGCGTTCGTATTCTTATTCGTGTGTATCCCGCTGTCCCTCGTTGCATCTCATTGTTTCTAATTATCTCCCGTTGTCTCCCGTTGTCTCCTGTTGTCTCCCGTTGTCGCCCGTTGTCTCCCAATTCCCGATCCACATCTCTAGCCCGCTGCCCCTATATCCGTCCCTGTTATTTCGATCCTATCTCTCAAATCCTTATGCCGATCCCTACCAGTATCCCTATTATATCCCTATGCCTACGTCCCCAGCCCTACATCCCTACCCCTAGCCTGATCTCTTCAGTATGCGCAGTAATGATCGCAGTCGGTATCGTATATCTACTAGTATGCCGACCGTTGCTTCCGATTGTCTCGCGTTGTCGCCCTTTGTCTCCCTATCCTTTATCCAGCCCCCTATCCCGAACCCTATCCCTGTTCTTCCTGAAGTATTTCCATATCCCCATCCCGATCCCTATCCTTATCCCTGAATCCCACTCCTTGTTTCCCTATCCCTAGATTCCCACCCCTACCCTTTCAGTGCTCGCATTCGTTGTCGCATCGCCACATTCCTGTCAGTGTTCGCTCGCAATACCCGTACTACCATCAGCAACCAATCTCTTCAGCAGACGAAATGCAAATAGTATGGGTGCTGGTACAGTTTTGATGCTAGTACACTAAAAGTAATAGTCGTAGTGGTAGTAGTCATCGTAGTAGCCGTAGTAGTCGTAGTCGCAGCTATCATGGAAGTAGTAGTAGTAGTAGTAGTAGTAGTAGTAGTAGTAGTAGTAGTAGTAGTAGTAGTAGTAGTAGTAGTAGTAGTAGTAGTAGTAGTAGTAGTAGTAGTAGTAGTAGTAGTAGTAGTAGTAGTAGTAGTAGTAGTAGTAGTAGTAGTAGTAGTAGTAGTAGTAGTAGTAGTAGTAGTAGTAGTAGTAGTAGTAGTGTAGTAGTAGTAGTAGTAGTAGTAGTAGTATAGTAGTAGTAGTAGTAGTAGTAGTAGTAGTAGTAGTAGTAGTAGTAGTAGTAGTAGTAGTAGTAGTAAGTAGTAGTAGTAGTAGTAGTAGTATAGTAGCAAGTAGTAAGTAGTATTAAGGTAGTAGTAGTAGTAGTAGTAGTAAGTAGTAAGTAGTCAGTAGTAAGTAGTAAGTAGTAAGTAGTAAGTAGTAAGTAGTAAGTAGTAGTAGTAGTAGTAGTAGTAGTAGTAGTAGTAGTAGTAGTAGTAGTAGTAGTAGTAGTAGTAGTAGTAGTAGTAGTAGTAGTATAGTACTAGTAGTACTAGTAGGATGGTAGTAGAGTCGTAGTAGTATAGTAGTAGAAGTATAGTAGGTCGTAGTTAGTTAGTAGTAGTAGTAGTAGTAGAAGTTCTTTAGTTAGTAGCATATTAGTAGTAATAGTAGTAGTAGTAGTAGTAGTAAGTAGTAGTAGTACTAGTAGCTAGTAGTAGTAGGCGTAGTAGTAGTAGTAGTTAGTGTAGTAGTAGTTAGTAGTGGTAGTAGTAGTAGTAGTAGTAGTAGTAGTAGTAGTAGTAGTAGTCGTAGTAATAGTAGTAGTAGTAGTAGTAGTAGTAGTAGTAGGTAGGTAGGTAGGTAGGTTGAATATATAGATAGGCGTTCTCCTCAAGGTTGGGAAAGATTTGTGTTCTCGCCTTCTGGGATTCCCGACTCTCGAAGAAACGGCCCAACAGGCCTTCAAGATCGCCCAAGGAGTCTCCAAGAGCTCCCCGAAACGACCTGAGAGGGCCTCCGGGTACCCCACGTGCCCACAGAGAGCCTCGCGGGAGGCCCCCAGGAGGCCCCCAAGGGAGACCCAATTAGGCCCACAAGATACGCCCAAGAGACCCCCCGAGAGGCTCTGAAGACCCACGAGCCCCCCCCCCCAAACCCCCTCCTCGTCCACTTGTTCCATCTCTCTGTCCTCCTCGCATGCAGGGTCGGCGGCACCAGCCGTAAGGCCTTCACATCGGTATATTGTATATACACACGCGTATGTTTATATGTGCACACACATTCGCCCGCATTCATAATACTTGAGAAACACTGAGGAACCTCCTGGATACCCTTGTATATATACACACACGTATGTTTATATGTGCACCCACATTCGCCCACATTCGTAATACTTGAGAAACACTGAGGAACCTCCTGGAGACCCCTGATCTTGGCATCGCGCGCAAAGGATGGCGTGAGCAGGGTGACGTTCTGAACGGGCAAGGAGGCTTCTGCTAATGCTCATCAGGAGCTGGGAGGGTCTACAAGATGCCCCTACCTTCTCAGTAGACGCCCCCCCCCGCCTTCTCTTAGGGCCGCCCCCCGCGCGCCACCCATTCAGTCGGGTAATGCCTGAAGTGCCCCAGGCCCGAGTTGTCACCAGCTTGTCGCGCCATGTTGGGGGCCCTGGGCCTCGTGAGGGGTGCTCTGGAGACCTTGTGAAACTCCCTCGTCAAAGGCTGTGTCCTCAGTAGTTCTGGGAGTACCCGTAGTCCAGGGAGGGTACCTGTGGTCGAGGGCAGGGGTACATGTGGGCCTGGGCGGAGTACCCATAATCCGGGGTGAGGCACCAATCGTCAGGGGCAGGGTACCAATAGTCGGGGGGGAGAGCATTTGTCGTATGGCGAGGTGGCCTGTCGCGCGAGCGCGGGTGGTCCAGGGGTACTTGTAGTCGGGCGGGGTACCAACAGTCCCGGGGTGGGTGCAAATAGTTCAGGGGGTACCAATAGTCTGGGGGGAGGGGGGGGCCACTAGTCCGTGGGGAGACAGTCCAGGGGGTACCCGAAGTCCGGGGGCCCAGAACTATAGAGGGACACAATCACGACTTCTGCTGTCCCTCGACTTGCACTGGAGCTGGAGCTACCACTATTCGTTCTAAGTGTAACTGGATATCCTCGGATTCACTCGGACATAGTATCTGAATTTACTTCGATTTATCGCTCTTGATCCCCGCAAATCGATTGGAGAAGCGTCGTCAAGCCCTGGGTGGCTCACAGAAACTCCGCCGTGTGCCAAGGACACTTCCAACAAGAACCTGGCTGGGCGCGCTGCGGATAAGCCCGGAAAACGCCCACCACACTCCCTCGAACGACGTCCGCGGGGATGCGGCCCGCGGGGCCTCCAAGTTCGCCTTGCTCTCGGCCTTGGCGGCCAGCATCTTCGTGCTCATGGCCCGCTCCTCCGAGGAGTCCTGGCGGGTGGGGCTCCTCCTCCACACGCTCAATCGTCTTTCATCTATTTCCCTTTTAAATTCCTCCTCCCTGTCACACCCCCAATCGTGTAAGTAGGGCAGGTGGGCGTTTCGCCTGAATGTTCCTAGCCATATACGACCGTGAAGCTTGAACTTTGCAGTCGTTCCAGATGGAGGGCGGGTGGTTTTCAACATGTGGCTGCCGTCTTTGCGCGGCGCTCATTCGTCCTAACAATTTACAGCGAGATCGACAATGAAAACCCGGGAACGTGAAAGTGTGGCTCTCGCCTTAGCGCCGCGTGCATTCGTCTCACAAAGTGTTGCATCAATGTCAAGGATGAAGGGCGGCGGTTTTCAAAATGAGGCCCTCGCCATGGCGCCGTGAAGATTCGCCTTAGAAGTTTGCAACAACTTCGAGGATGTAGGGCGGCCCCTTTTCAACATGTCGCTCTCGATTTGGCGCCGCGCGCGATCGACTTCAAAGTCTGCAGCGCCTGAAGTATTCGGAAGGTGGATTTCTCAGGAATGGTTTTCTGCCACGATCATTAATGATTGCCAGCACGCAGCAATCACGAAACTACGTCCAAGGAATTGTTCTCTGGCACGACTTGGGGATTGCAGGGAAGCAACACTCACGTTGATTCGCGGCGATAGAGTCCTGGCACGATTGAGGATTCTCAGCTGGTCGTCTTTCACTTGGGTATTTCCAACACTGTTGATACATTCTCGTATGGGGCCAAGGACGAGGAAACTTGAAGGCAGGGTTCCTCGCAATATCGTTGATGCGTCTTGAGTTTGCACTGGGCCTGCTCCTCCACATCCTCCTCCTCCTTGTAGGTGGCGCGCAGAGGGGGTCAGGGGACATTCCTCCCTGGCGCGTGGAGCGCACCAGGGGCGGGGATGTTCAAGGACCTCGCACGCGTTCGGGCTTCTCATTGGTTCTCCAGGATGCCCCTCGCAGATGGCCCACGGGACCCCTCCCAAGCCCCGCGCGCCGTCGAACGATGCCCGCGGTGGAGAGGCCGGCCCTGGGGCCTCGAGCGGGAAAAACTGCACAAACGCAGACGCCTGGAGTGCCGCGCGGACCCCGACAATGCCTACCTAGGCTGGTGGTTTGCTCCTCGAGGGAAGTGGCAGATCCATAGCTCCGAGGCCAACGATGGGGGACATGATCCCTGCGGGTCCCGAGGGACGCGCTTATCCTCTGGACCCCAGGCCCTCTCCCGGGCACGGCTTTCTTCGTCCCGAGCCGCCTCTTCTGGCAACCCACGAGGCCGAAAACGGTTGCAGGAACTCCAGGATCCGTTTCTTTAAGGACACCTCTCTCAGACGAAGCCAGGACGAAGACAACATCGGGTGGTGATAAATCGGAAACCTCTGAGAACTGGCGGCTCTGGAGGACGTCTCGGGCGCCGCGGTTTTCTCAGAGCGTTCTGGAACGCTCTGGGAGCGTTCCGGAACGCTCTGGAACGGATTTAGCCTCGTCCTAGCCCCGTCCACTCTCGTCCATTTGAGCAGGGACCGGCCGTCCCGGCAGTCCCAGAGGCCAACTACGACACGTTCCTGGAACGAAACAAACAGAAGTTCTACGAGCAAAAACCTGCCGACCTCCTCGTGCCGGGGGTGAACGGGCGAGTGAGATGTCTGGCAGTACCCCTCCCCTTGGCTGGTCTTTCTGGAGACCTTCCTGGAGCCACTCGCGCCACTCGTGCGTCGAAACTGCCGAGCTTCCGTCGGTTCGAGTCGACCGTGAGTCGACCTTGAATCGAACCTGAATCGAATCTGAGCCGATCTCGATGCGAACTGGAGGGTCGAACTAGAGTCGAACAGATCCGTCAGGTGGGCCCCAGGAAGGTCCCCCAAATGAGCGTCTCACTCCTCGGGGGCGTCCAAGAGGAGGGGCCGCAAATCATGGCCGGCGGCATGTGCGCGGCCCAGGGGGGGGGGGGGGCGCGGACATTTTGAAATAAGAAGAGGCGTCATGAGATCTGGGGGGATTGGCCCCCGCCGTCACCCCCCTCTTGGCCACCCCCGAACTCCCCCTCCCCCCCTCTCCGGCCCGATGCCACTTTGAAAGGTGCCACCGGGCGCCGTTACCGACCGGGGCGGACGGCAGACTCGTCACCGACTTCCGCAGCGCGGCCCGCTCTCCACGGGGCCCACACGGGCGCGCGGGCGCCACGGCCCCGCAAGGCCACCTGTAGAGCCGGCTGTTGACAGTGCGACCCAATGCGGGGACCCTCTGACCCGGGTCAAGCTAGACCCGGGTCAGCCAGGCCGTGCAGGATCCTGCAAGATCCTGCAGGATCCTGCAGGATCCTGCACCCCAGCCCAGGTCAGTGCACCCCTGGCTCTGCATGATCCTGCAGGATCTGGCGCCCTGGCTTACCCCCGCTTGCGTTGACCCCCGTCTCAAGGCTCCCGAGGCCAGCAGCAGCTCACTGAGAAAACGGCTTGCACCAACTGAGTGGAACTTGCACCAGCGGCACCATGTCCACACAGGCCGCCCACTCTGAGAAGCTGCCAAATTGGACCTCTCACCAGCGGAACGGTACCCACACCAGCTGTCCGAACGCTCGCGCCCGAGCCTCCGCAGAACCACGTCGCACGTTGCGGCGCTGAAATATGGGGCGGCCCTGGGAAAACGAACGCTGCCTCAGACGACATTGGCACAGCACGCGAAAAGTGAACATGCTTCAGTGTAAGCTGCAATTCCGAAGATGCGTGGGCCAAAATTGCAACCGAAAGGGGAAGGAAGGAGGATAGGGACGGGAAGGAAGGGGAGGGGAACGGGAAGGCGGAGGAGCAGGCAAAGCAAACGAGGGAACGAGGGGGAGGAATGAGGGACACGGAGGGATGGGGGACGGAGGGAGGAAGTAGGGGGAACGGGGAGGATGAGAGAACAGAGAGGGAAAGGGAGGCGACAGTGCAAAATGTCCAGGGGCGCCCGCAGAACTATTATGCCGGAGCTCAAGGAACGACAAGGCAAAATTACACCAGAGAAAAACCCCAATCAGTGGATGGTTTTCGCTGAATAGATCGACCGGGAACCCAAGAGCCCGGGAACCCAGAACCCACCAAAATCGGCCCAGAGCCAATAATCGCGAACCTGGGAACCTGGAACCAGGAATCCGGGAACTCAGCCTGCTACCAAAATCGGCGAGAAATTTTCGCCAAATCTTTCAACTGTCGCTAGGGACCCCTTCGGTGCAAGCACTGATTGGAGAAGAGATCATCATCGCTCGTCCTCCTACTTCTCCGCCTGCTCCTCCTCCTCCTCCTCCTCCTCCTCCTCACCCTCCGCACCACCACCTCCTCCTCCTTCCTCCTGCTTCCTCCTCACCCTCCGCACCATTACCATCACCACCACCGTCATATAATTACCAGCCTCACGGAAGGCCGCGCACGGGCAGAGAACTTTCCGGAGAGGGCTCCAAGACAGCTCACAATACGACCCCGAGAGCGATCCGAGAGAGAGCCCCACACGGATCTCTCGGGGGGAACGAAAGGGAGGGATGGCAAAGGGTACATAGGGTAGAGAATCAGCTCACGTAGCTGATTTTCCCAGCGCCTCCCGGCGCTGGGAGGCGCCCATGTATGGAGGAATGGGCCCGGCGGCGGGGCCGATACCAGCTGCAGGCAGCAGATTTCGTAGCCCCCCCTTTCCCTATCCCCCCCTTTCGTTCGGCCCGAATCTCAAGGCGGCCCAGTATCGCCCCGACGGATCGCGGGAGAGCGCCGGCCGAGAGAGTCCCCACCCATGTCCCCAAGGGAGCCTAACGACGGCACCGCCAAGGTCGTTGACCGAAGAGCCCAGTCAAGGGGGTCGGCGGAATGGCGTAAGCCTGTTGAGTAATGCTCTTAGAACATAGAAGTTGAACCAAAAAGCGATCCCAGCCAGAAATGATGCAATCATATATGTGGGACAAGCCGCAGTAGAAAGTTTATGCAACATTATCTGGTCGGGCTACGGGGAGGTCAGGACGCTTCGCCACTGCTTGATCCATGGTGGCAACATAACGACACAGATCCACAACGCCCTCCTTCATGAGCTTCTCGTACTCCTCCTGGTTGTTCTTCTCCTGCGTCTCGGCCTGAGCGGCGAGCTTGCTTGCGCAGGCCAACCAACCTCGCGCCACGCGCCATACGCAGCGCAGCGAAACACAGCGCAAGCTCAGAAACCTGCGCCGTGCTGTGGGCAGCGCGGCCACACTTTTTGGACGCCCGAAGTGGGCACGGACAAAACATAGACACGCTGCAAAACAACAAGTGTCATCAAAGTCCTGCAGTGGCCGCTGCTGGGCAGGACTTTGTCTCAAATGAATAGCGTCTGCGGCGACACCGACAGCGAACAACCTGTTCAGCATGGGCAAGAACTGCTGTCAGTCTTCGTCCAAGCTCTTCCCGTACCCAGCTCGATCGCATCGATGAGCGGGAAGCTTGCTGGCCCAGGCCACCCAGCCACGCGCCACGCGCCAAGCGCTGCGCAGCGCAGGCTCGGCAGCCACGCGCCAAGCGCTGGGGGTGGCGCGGCTGCTCACCTCCTCCTCCTCCTCCTCCTCCTCCTCCTCCTCCTCCTACTCCTCCTCCTCCTCTTCCCTCCTCCTCCTCCAGCGCCGCATCGCGCAGCTTCCTGAGGTGCCCGACGTGGGTGCGAGCTGGCAGGAGCGGCTGGCGCGGCGCGGCTCGCGCCCCCGCTCCCTTCCTTGCTTTTTCGCCCGGGCACGTGCCGTCGCGAGCCCGATGGGCAACAGACAGACGGCCGAGGATGCATTACAACCAACGCTGATAAAAAGGCTGCGCGATGAGGATGCAAGCCCCTTGGACGCCCGTGCTGAAGCTTTGCTCGAGCGCGGCGGGCCATCGAGGGCAGCCAAGGATGGCCCAAAGAGGCACGGGTGCAAGGGCATCCTCGGGAAGGTTCACCATCCCTGCCATCGGTTGTTTCGACTGTAGGCTGCTCAATAGCTGAAGCCACTATGACTCCAGACCGGCCTGCGCCAACAGAGGGATGATAGGAAGGCCAACATAGAGGCCTCCTAGATGGGGTCCGAGTAGATCGGGTCGAAGGATTGCGCCGCATCGTCAATGCATCGCCGATGCATCGGCGATGTCGGCGACGCACCCGCGACGTCGGCGTGGGGAACATCGGGCTACACATCGAGCCGCATCGTCGATGCATCGGCGATGCGGCGCGACCCTCCGACCCCATCTACTCGGCCCCTATTTGGGAGGCCTAGTAGACTCAAGGCGTGGAGGCTGAGCCGATCCAAACTCGTTATGCGCCTGTGCAGGGCGCAACCACTTCGCCCTGGAATGGGACATCGCGCCCTTCCTCCTCCTCCTCCTCCTCCTCCTCCTCCTCCTCCTCCTCCTCGTCCTCCTCCTCCTCCTCCTCCTCCTCCTCCTCCTCCTCCTCCTCCTCCTCCTCCTCCCGCTCGCGGCTGGCCGAAGGGAAAACAGAAAGCAGAGCTCCGCGCGCGTCGCGAGGCGCCCCTGGCGCACGCACGTGCGCGGCCCCCGCCCGCAGATGCGACGCGCCTCGCTCTTCGGCCCCGGCCAGGGCGGATCACCTCGGACGCGCCCCTGCGGGGGGGCACCCTGGCGGACGCACGCACCGTCGGGTCTCCAAAGGTGACGGCAGCGACGTCCTGAACGATGACGACAGTGCTGGTGGAGTTCAGGAGCTGCTGGCGGCCCTCGTCTCTGGAGTCCAGGAGAGTCCGTCTGGAGAGGGTCGCACCATATGGAAGCAATGAAGCGCCCCCGCGGGGTGACCTGGCCGACGCCGCATGCGCCGTCGGACCCCCGGAGATGACGGCCGTGATGTCCCGACGCGATCGACTCGGCTTGAGACGTCAGAGTTCTGGAGCCGCCGGCGGCCCTCGTCTCTGGAGTCTGGGAGAGGTCCGTCCCGAAGAGGAGGGCAACCTGGAAGTTCAGTCAACCCGTGTAGTAAGGATGCGCGATAAGGATGCAACGGCCTTGCCCACCGATTTCGAAGCTTTCCGAACGCGGGGCGGCCAACGAAAGTGGCCAAGGATGGAACGAGGAGGCAAGGATGCAAGGGTATCATTGGGAAGGTTGCCCATCCTTACTATGTGGGTTGACTGTAGTGTAGAACGTCTCATTGTCATGACTTCTGGCTTTTCGCCCCTCTGGCTGAAGGGTGATGAAATTCACAGTGGTAGGCTCTCCCTCCTCACCGGATGCCGTTCAGGTCGTATGGGGGTTCCAAGGTCAAGGGCAATTGAATGGCAGATGCCGCCGAATTGGGGCGTGGACTACATCTCGTTTCCGCTGTGATCGCAAGCGCAGGACCGATAACGTTATGGATCAATTCGCTCGCTGTATACACCATCAAATATGGTTTCAGCTAGCTGGTTCCAGGCCGATGTTGCCCGACCTGTTCTTAGCAGGAAACCGAATGAACCACAAACAGCAAAAGGATCCACATGTGAAGCTATGAATTTGAGGAACTCTCAAACAGCGCAGTGTCCCCCGCAAGCCGTACGATTTGGCAACGCAGGTAGACGACCCCTCGGTGGCTCCCTGCTGAGACGATGGCAAAGCAGGGCTGCCCGTTCCAACAACTCCAGCACATACGTGGGAGAGAGGAAACGAAATGGCGGAAAGCGCGGGTAGACCATGATCCGCGAAGCAAGCGCGCAACATGCGGCTCACACCAAAATGACGGGGCCTCTGTCATCTCCTTGTCCAAGTCCTGGGATAGATCACCAAGGAAACGGGTGACCAGTGCTGATGTGGCGTAAAGTTAGAGAGACACAGGAAAAATGATTAACGACCCTCCTCCATCAACATCTTGCACGCTGCCATCCGCCCCCCTTGCCTCGTAATTCCTTGCCCGTCGGTCGGAAGAATTGGGTAGACACATTAAAAGAAAGAAAGTATTGCCAGCAGACTGAGCTTTCGCCAACTACCTGAATGAGGCGGGGAGAGAGACAGCCGCTCGGCTCCTGAAGCAGGACGGAGCAGAAAGCAGATGGGACTGTAGGAATCCAGACATACCTAGTTTCAACGACCGACGCGTATAGCTGTCCGATGGCTGCCCTTGCATCGCGAATCAACAGCACCACTCCCCGAGCTCGGGAGCGGTCATGGGCGCACCCCCGAGCTCGGGAGCCCTTTGAGTGCCCTCGGCTCCCCCCTGCTCCCGGAGCAGCCCCCGGCCGCAAGGGGGAGCCGAGGCTGTGGGCGGGGAGGCCCGCAAGGAGGCACACTGCCAGCAACGCAGCAGGACGAAGGCGCTCGGAGCAGAGCGCGCGCAGAGCTGCGGCCACGAGGCCGTCGCGCCCCAGCTCGTGCCACGATCTGCGAACATGTCTTAGGAACAGATGTCCCTTCCCGCCGGACTTGAGCGCGCCTCGTTTCTAAACGATCCCGAGGCCTTGAGGCGACCAGCACGGTTTCCGTCGCGCCGCTGGGGTCTGACGGAAGCGAGGAAGTCACGAGCGGCGAACATGTCTGTATCTGCGCCCTCGCGGTCGGGACTCTGGTGCACGATCCTGCGGATACGCGTAAGCCCCGCGCGGGGCATTCGCGAACAACGCGCCCCGTATCCGCGGGGTCGCTGCCCAAGGGCCCAGCCCGCGAGGCCGCGGATGCAGACATGTTTTCGCCCACGATCCTGCGCGCCGTCGCGCAGCCGCCTCTCCATCAAGCGGGCGTATGAAGGGGCCCAAGGACACACACACACACAGTAATCCACAACAATCCCAAGATTCCCAATATTTGTTCCATATTTGTTGGAGTTCCATCTTCCCCCCCATTTCCCATATTTTCCAATACTGTCTGGGGAATCGACGATTCATTGTGCCTGTGTGTTTTTTGTCGCTCCTGAGCGGAGCGGCCGAAACCGTGCTGGGAAATCTGCCCGAACTTGGCCGAAACCGGCGCCAGATTGTTGCAGCAAGCGCCCGAACATGACCGAGATGTTTGGCTCAAGCCGATATGATTTTCGATTTCGGTGGCAACTTCGGTCACACCATTTTGATAACCAGTTCGGATCGTTCTCTCCGGTCACTTACCTTTTCGGCTACGGGGCCAAGTGCCACGAATGACACTCCCTGTGGAAAACATTGGCGTTCCCGTATCTCACGATTCTCACTTGCCGGGTCGTCTCAACTCCTGCCTTCCATGGCATCTTAGTCTTCACGCCACATCCTTAATTGGGCCCCTTGCGCAAGACGTTAGAAACACGTGTTTGAAAAGTCGGGGGGGTCTGGGATCGGTATATGAAAGCTGTTTGTCAGGAACAGAGCTTGGGGACCCAATCTATTGAGGAACTTTCACGTGTTCATGCCCGTGCTCAGAACCATGCACAAGTCCGTAAACGGCTCAATTGTTTGTGGCCACAGCCTTGCGAATCATCATCATCACCGTCATCATCACCATCTCCATCACCATCACCATCACCATCACCGTCACCATTACCATCACCATGATAATGCTGATGATGCTACTGATGATGACGATGATGATGATGATGTTGATGATGATGATGATGCTGACGCTGATGATGATGGTGATGATCGTCATCATCGACAACACCGACGTTGCCATCACCGCCAAAAACATCAACGATGCATCGACGATGCGGCGCGATTCTCTGACCCCATCTGCTCCAGCCCCATTTTGGAGGCCTGGAACCCCTGGCATGCCCAGTGGGTGGAGCTGAGAGGGAGAAGAGCCGTACCTCCAGCCGCACTCTCAAGCCCTCTCAAGCAACCCCAACCCCACATCTACATCCGAAAACCAAGACAAGGGACCACTTTTGCTGTGGCACTATCCGCCAATCATGTGGGCAGAACGGCACAATTTCCCTCCCCAAAGCATTTCTCTCATCTTGCTAATTACGATGATGAGCGCTGAGTTCGCCGGCCCAAAGTGCCAGAGGCGTGCTAAATCCTCGGGTAGGAGTTTAAGAATATTTCTAGTTCGCGCGCACGTGGCGGCCCCGGGGGGTCCCCGGACAGAAAAATACTCCAGTAATCGGGTGTTGCCAGAAGTACCCCTGGCCCAAGGTACCCCAAGATTCTCGGGGTGGCCCAGGCGGCCTCCAGGGCACCCCTCACGAGGCCCATAGGACCCCAGGGACTCCAAAACGGAGCGAAAAGCTGGGGGCACCTTGGGCCACGGGCACTTCTAGCAACACCAAAAGTAAGGTCCCGGCAAGGTCCAGGCAAGGCCGGGCCAGCGATGCCGTAACTCCCGGGCGCGGTCTTGGGGGCGTCCCGCGCGCCCCAGTGAGGCGCCCAAAAAGGATGGCACGCGTTAATCCCAGGACGGCCCGAGAAGCGCCCAAAACGCTCCAGGAGGGTTCCCAGAGGACTTCGAGCGACCCCGGAGACGCAACAGTCATCGATTTCGCTGAGAAGTTGTCGGACGATTTTGGCAGTACCGCCTTTTCGAGCTGCCGACCGCCCTGGGCGGCCCAACAGGCCCCAATATCGCCCCAAGACTGCCCCCAAAACCTCGCAGGGACCCTAAATGGCCCAAGATAGCCCCAGACGGCCCAAGAGGCCTCCAAAACGGCCACAGGATGGCCCAGAGGGGAAACCAACACAACAATTTCGAGTTCTTGGCCCTAAGAGCCGCCCAGGAAGCCCCCAGACGCACCCAAGAGGCCACAAGAGGCTTCCAACAAAGCACCGAATACCCCCAACACGCCCCCAAGAACCCCCAAGAGGCCCCCCAAAAACCTTCAAACGGCTCGATAAAACCTCCAAAATGCTCCCCAAAGGCTCCCTCCGAAAAGACCACGAGAAACATCCATGAGGACTTTGACCCAAAACCCATGTGCGTCTCGAAACGCTGCTGGAGTTATCTTGAGCCACCTTGGCGCGCTCTGGGGCAGCCTATCGGCTCTATTCGACAGGGTGCGAACCACATCTCCAAAAATCCCCTCGAAGACCGTTTTGCCTGCCCTGACCTTCGCCCAAAGCACGAGCACATCACCACGCAAGTGATGCGAAATGGACCGGCGGAGTGAACGAAACGACTCAATAAATAACGAACGGTTTTGGTTGGCCACCGCGAGCCTCGGCCACGAATTCATTCCCCGACCCAGATCTGAGGAACGGCCCGACAACCAAAACCCCTCCTGAGCACACATTGGCCAGTGTTTCGATATTTTGACTGTGCTGTATTGCCTGCTCGGAAGGTTAGGGTTAACCGCGCCGCAAGGGGGGGTGCGCTGTCCACGATGCAACCGCTCAGTTTCTGGGGGGTCAACAACGCCCCTGCCTAATCGACGCCCTGGACCACGCACCCTTGGAGGAAACCGAAGGGGAAAAGGAGGAGACGGACAAGCTGGGCACGCTCGCGCCATATCCGATATTGGATCATTCCCTATATTCCCTCTCCGTTGCGCCATTGTCGCCTGTGTCCGCGCACGCGTGCCAAAGACGACCTCCAACTCCAAAGAACAAACGACACATAGTGATATGCGCAATCGGACAAAGGGGAGCTGCGCAACGCCAGCATATGCTTAACCAATGACAGGAACCCCCGGGGCTGATGAGTGGACCCGCGCCAAGGGGGAGGAGGAGAAAGGAGGGAGAAGGAGGAAAAGGAGGAGAAGGATGACGAGGAAGAGGAGGAGAGGCAGGAGGAGGAGGAAGAGGAGGAGGAGGAGGAGGAGGACGAGGAGGAGGAGGAGGAAGAGGAGGAGGGGGATGAGCAAGAGAAGGAGGAGGAGGACGAGGAGGAGGGGACGGTGGAGAAGGAGAGGGAGGAAAGAGGAGGAAGAGGAGGAGGATGAGGAGGAGGACGAAAAGCTGGGAGAGGAAAGGGGGGGTTGCGAAGCCTGCTGTGCGCAGCTGGTTTCGGTCGCCCCGCCGAAGGGCCAGTCCTCGATGCATGGCCACTTTCGGCGCCAGGGGGCGCTTGGAACATCGGCGATGTGAGCTGCTTGGCAGATCCCCCCTTTGCTGCGCCCCACTTTCGTCGTCCAGCCCGCCTTGCCCGCAGGCCCGCGTCGGTTCGACAGAACAAAGAGCTCCCTGGCTCGCCCTTGCCTCCAAACGTCCCCCCCTTGCCCCTCGTTGGCGGCCACGCGTCGGCGCTAAGCACAAGCGCCGCCCCGTTGATTTTCAATCTGGCGGGCGCCACCCCGCGACTCGCACGAGCAGAGTAACTGTTTTTTCAAACACGAGACCCCCCTGGACATGTTAATCACATACTGACATTACATAGTAGGAGAAGGAGGAGGAGGAGGAGGAGGAAGAGGCGGAGGAGGAGGAAGGAGGAGGAGGAGACGAGAGTACCGAGAAACCCGTCCAACACCGGAGAATCTACAATAATCTAATCCGCACCCAACAACACAGCGGTATGCGGAAGCCTGGCGAAAGAAACTGGATACACGGGAGCGCGAACGAGGCGGCGCGGGAAGGGTAGGCGACCAGGAGCACCCAGAAGAGGACGAAGAAGAGGCCACCTGTGATCCACCTCCAGCCAAGGAAGCTGACGAACTCAATGAAAAACAAAATCAGGGAGATGATGAACGAGAGGCGCACAACTATGAGGATGAAGCCGGATCTGCGAACACGACGACCGCGAGGAAGAGCCAGAGCAGGTACCGCACCAGCTGCACCAGTCCGCAGAAAGCGTGTCGCCACAAGCCCCACTGAGCCATCGATGTGTTGCAGCCGATCACCTTGACCAGTGCGTGATGTTGAGGTTGCCTTCACTGTCGCGCCATTCCTCGTCGTGGCTGTCCCCGCCGTCGGCCGAGCAGCCAGCGCCGTCCTCTGAGAAGAAGACATCGTCCAACACAGGGCCAAGTCGGAGGACAGAAGGGTGAGCAGGGAGACCAGTAGACGAAGGCTGCATCGAGTGTCGCCAGACGGCAAGCTGGATTTTACTGCCCAGGGCCTCCGATTCAAGCAGCTCGCTGATGTGTCGACCGAAACCTCCCGCGACGCGATCAACATCTTGAGCATGGGTAGACACCACGATCTTCGCAGTCTCCACCACAGCCTCGATATGGGTGGTTGCGCAGTATCCTTGATGTCCGATACAATGTTCGACAGCAGGTGTAATTCGCTCTGCACTCGCTCGCTGCCGCACTTCAGCTTCGGCACCATCAAAACATCTTCCTTCATCAAATCGAGATCGCGCACGACCCCAGCTCGGACCTGATCCACAGCCTCCGACACGAGCGAGCTCATCGCCGCAGCCGAGTGGAACAAGATTTGGTCCTTGACTCGGGACATGAACTCCTCCGTCTCGGCCATGCTGCAATCAATCAAGCCTTTGCACTCATCCCACAACTTCTTGAGGTCGGCTGGCTTCGAAACCCGTTGAAACTGGTCATCGATGTAAGACTTGGCATCAAAAACCTGTTCCTTGACAGTCTCTTGGGTTTTCGCATACGTGCAACGGAAGAGGCCGCGCATGGCATCCAGTTTCGCGTTGACCAGGGCTACAGAAGGAACCTCGGAGGTGGCCTCATCACGAAGCATGCGCACCTGCTGGTCAAGCACGGCCACGCTGTCGCATACAGAACAGTGCTGGGCATCGACCAATGCCTCCAACGCGGCGACGCCATCTGCGAGGGAAGAAACGTCGGAGGGAGCAACAAACCCAAGTAGATCTGCAAATGAAATGGCATCCGTGATTACCCTAAATTGTTTTTCGCATTGATGCTCAACCATCTTGGCGATAGCCAAACTCTCCGCAGCGGCAGCACCACACTCGGCAAGTGCACTCCAGGCCGCATCAGTATGCAGGTCCACTTGAGGGTCGACCAAAGTGTGCTCGTTCTGGAATGCGGCCTCCTTGGAGAGAGACAATGCTTCATCTGAACAAGAGCGAGCAGCGTCTGACACAGCCCGCGTCTCAGCAACCGCACTCCAGACGCTGTTCACGCATACATCCAGATAGTCAACTAACAAGGAAATATCAGACGGTCAATTGTGCACGGGCTCCTCTGGGAAGAACTCAGCAACATCAACTCGCAGAGAGGAAACGCCACCCGTGGCGGCGGGAACACGACGGGAGCGGCCGCTGCCCCACTCGTGCTTGGCCCGATTCGATTGACGGTGAACAGCCAGAGCAGTACGGACAGCAGCAGCGGGCAGTCCAGCACCACGAGCGGCATCACGAGCATAATGAGTCGGTGCATCAGTGAGCTGGTCATGGTCGTCGTGTAGTTCCAACAACTGGATCATCTTGACAGCACGTCCTGCCAACGACGCTCGCACTGGAACCAAAGTGCGAGCCGCAGGGGCACACAGATACCGACGATCAATAGCACGCAGGCGGCGTCGCTCAGCAGCAAGAGCGGACCGGCAGTGCTCCATCGGAGAAACGAAGAAGCCGGAGTAGAGGCAGCACGCGGGGCGCCGGCGCAACCATGAGCTAGGCCCGAGGCTCGAAGCAAAGCTGGCTTGAGCCAAAATGGCTACGGAGGAGGAGCAGGAGGAGGAGGTGGCTGGTGAGCAGGAGGATGAGCAGGAGGAGAAGGAGAAGGAGGAGGGAGGAGGACGAGGACGAACAGAAGCAGCAGGTAACTGAGGGGGGCTGCAAATATGAAAAAGGACTCGGATCCAGAAAAGTGGCCTGCGCTGGGTCCCAGTGCGGGCCACTTTCGTCCTGTATTCAGAATGGCGCTCTTGTCCCAGCGGCTGGGACGAGAGCGCTATTCTGAGCCATGGGTGCGCAACGCCGATCCGAAAATTAGGTCCACGCTTCAATGGGACCCTCATTTTGATACACCGAAGCAATAGGATTGCAGAGCACATGCCAAAACATCAACTTTTGAATTCCTGTGTAAAGAACATGACGCGGAGAAGGTCGAATATTTTCCGCACAGGGTCAGCGGAGAGAGTAATAAATAGTAGTCATAGTGTATAAACTTGTGCAAGGACGAGGGGTACACAACAAAGACCAGGGGGGGCGACACGACCGCCTTGCCAACTCCCTCAAGCGCATCGACTTCGAGCCATGTCTTTCATCAACCCCTGACCGGCCGAGACACTTGGAGGCCTCTGCCCGAAGCGCCAGAACAATAAGAAGCATCCTTGATCAACAAATCGACCATCGCGATCACTCCGGTCGACTCCTGCGTCGCGCAAAACGGCGATGCGCTGGGATTGATCCAGTGGCAGAAGGCATAGACATGATGACAAAGTATTTAGGTCGCGCAACACGGATCATTCGAGAGAGTAGCGGCTTAAAACATCTCTGTCAAGCAATGGTGCCTCCCGATACTGCCGTCAGTGTGTCCCCTTCGAGAACCCTTCAGGCCGGCCCAACCTGCCCAATCATTCAATGCTGTCCCCTGGCTGGCGCAAGTAATCCTGGAGGAGGCAATAGCTACAATAGAGGAGCCGAGTTGGCAACATAGAAAGAGTCACAAGGTGTGCAGCGAGCATGATGGATTGTTCACGATACTCGCGCGGTCACGCGAAGGCATATACTCACAAGGAATACTCACGCGTGCTTGCGCCACTCGCTCCGAACTGCGTGACGCTTAACGCCACAAACACGTCTCCCGCTCGTAGCCGCACGTGCATGCCTCGCGAGGCAATCTGCGCGCAACGCGGAACCGACCGTCAACGCTAGCCAGGCTGGCGACCGCGTTTTGCCTGTGCGTGCCCTCCCCTCTGCACCAAGACACCGCAGCGACCGACGGCGCGCACAAGGGTGTGGGGCGAAGGTGGCGGCCATCTGACAGAGATGGCAAAAAACACTATTTTTCAGAGCTCCGCGCGGGATGCTGGGATCGGTGCTGGGCCCCCCTAGCGGCGCCTCCAGCACCGCCACCGGCGCGCTCCGCACGTTGGAGAGGGGGGCCCGTTGCAGATCCAAGACATCCGCGCGGAGCCCCCAAAGCTCTCTGATCTAAGGAGGCAGGGGGCTCATTCTCAGAAGTGACCAGACGTGATGGGCCTGTTCTCCACGACCACCACCACCACGAGTTGGAGGGGGAGGGGGTCCCCCTCCTCCCCCTCCTCCTCCCCGTCCCCCTCCTCCTCCTCCTCCTCCTCCTCCTCCTCCGCCGCCTCCGCCTCCGCCTCCGCCTCCGCCTCCGCCTCCGCCTCCTCCTCCTCCTCCTCCTCCACGACCACCTCCTTCCCCCCTCCACCTAATGGTGATGGCGGATGTGGTGGTAAGCAGGCCCCGCAAGACGCGCCCGCGGGGTACCCATTGCGAGGCGGGGGCGGGCGACGTCCCCAAGAGGCGCCGCCTGCCCTCCTCGAGGGGCGTGCCCCCCCCCCCCCTCGCCCGACGGAGCCATCCTTAGGTCGGGCGTGTCCCCCTACAGGCGGATTTTGGACGAACAATTCAAACAATAGACAATACCCCCCAAATGTTCAAAGATAGTCGACAAATCGTCCCCAGTCTATTTTCTTAATATTCTTGAATATCCCTCCTGTAGAGGGACAAGCCCGACTTGAAGCTATCCGCCCGCCGCGGGCCTCCGCGCAGCTTTCTTCCACTCCGAGGGCGCGTCCTGCCCGGCTTCCCGAGGCGGCCAGCAGCGCCCAGAAGTGGAGGCCTGGAAATGGTTACCAGCACCAGCACAGGGGGGGTGCCTCCACAGGGGGAGGATGATCCCAGATTTCAGTGTTGGTAATACTTCGGCCACCTTGGAAGCCAGAATATTAACACCATCACCGAGATCGGGATGTTCTTCCATCGGTGGAGGCCCACCGCCGAAATTGGTGTTGGTGTCAATCTCTAGGCCTGCGACAGAACCCTCTCGTCTTGGACGATGCCAACCGAGGACGGCAGGCTCCTGCCCTGATGCCTTGCGCGCTGGTCGCCGACACCGCCTGGATCCTCCTCTAGCCTGACCGATCGCGCCTTCCCGACGGCGCGGGTCAATCGATGACGGCCGACTCGGGAACACTGGCGGCGCTCGACCTGAAACGCCCGCGCGGGGGTCGCCGCCGCGTCGGCACCACACAAACCCACCGCAACCACAGCTGGCTGCTGGTCATCAGCGAAAAGCGCGCGCGACCAGCCCCGCCCCCCCCCTCCTTCCCTCCTTTTTCAGCACGCCACGACGCGCGCCAGCGCCGTGTGGGGGGGAGAATATTGGCCATGCCCGAACACTCCCGGGCGACGCCGGCGCGCATCGCCCCCTCCCTGCCCGCTTCCCGCGGGGGGGCAGAACCATGGTCTCTGGACAGATCCGGTGCGCCCTGGCGTGCGCGCCGGCACGCGCGGCAGCGCACCTCGAGCTGGCCTGGCGCGCGGCGGGCGCCGCGCACTCGTCGGCCTCCGGTCTTCGTCGACCTGCGCCGCCCGCCCGCGCCGGCCTGCGCCGCAGCGGCGCGCCCAGTCTGAGGGGCATGACGCTCGGGGGGGGGGGCCGGCGCGGGGGGGGGCACTGCGGCCCCCAATGGGGCTGGCCGCATGCTGCGAATCGGCCAATCGTGGGGAAACCTTTTCTTGGTAATTGCTGATGCTGCTACTCCCCTGACCTCTCCCAGGGTGCATCCGACCAGAATCTCGGGGCGAATCCAGCGGTGGCGACGGGGGCCTCCCACGAGGCCTACAAGGCGAAAACGGGGCGAGGGCAACGAAATCGATACCTTGTCCTCCTCTGCAAAAAAACCGGTACGTGTGTACGTGTGTGTGTGTGGTTGTGCGTGTGTGTGGTTGTGTGTGTGTGTGGGTGTTTCTCTGTGTGTGTGTGTGTGTGTGTTTGTGTGCGGGGGGGGAAGGGCCAGTTGTGCGCTGCCGAGGTGTAGATAAGCGCGTCCCACTGTTCGCAGAACACCTGCTCGCAACTGGCCTGGATCCACCGCGTGGGATTCACGATCTGTTGCATAGCAGGAAGGCGTGCTTTGTTGGCGGCGGGCAGAGGGGGGTTGGGGGAGGGGGGAAGGCTTCTTAGAAGGAGGCTGCTTCTTAGAAGGCGCCGCAAGGCCCGCGCCCTCTGAGAAGCAGTGTGTTTCTGAGAAGCCTTCACCCCTCCCCCTACCCCCCTCTGCGCGTGGCTGACTTGTTTCGGACGTTGGCAAATGCATAGGCACTTTTGGAGGCCTCCTAGATGGGGTCGGAGGATCGCGCCGCATCGGCGATACATCGTCGATGCATCGGCGATGCATCGGCGATGCACCGGCGATGCACCGGCGACGTCGGCGATGCATCGGCGAGGCCTGCCTGAAGCAAAATTTGGCTCCGCATCCAGCCGCATCAGCGATGCATCGGCGACGCGGCGCGATCCTCCGACCCCATCTACTCGGACCCCATCTAGGAGGCCTAGAGACTACCTGGGCGCTCTGCGAGTAGGTTTAGGTCGGGCCTGTCCCCCTCCAGGGGGAGCGGAAAATTGTAAATACCATTAAAAAACACAAACAATGCTCCAAAATAGTCAAACAATCGTCCCCTGACTATTTTTGACTATCTTTGAATATTCCTCCTGTAAAGGGAGACAGGCCCGACTGAAGCCTAGAGAGTACCTATAGGCGCTCTGCGAGCAGCAGGCCAGCCTGCGGCTGCCCCGTGGATCATGACACCGCGGGGATCGCTCAACCTTGAACAATCGCCCGTTTCCGAGACGTCAGATCGTTGAACATCGGTCGGCTCTGGGTCGCCGGCGGCGTTCAACGCTGAACGCCGGCGGAGGGGTCGCCGCTGGTCGACACGACGCGAACCTACCGCACTCGGACCCCATCCAGGAGGCCTAGAGAGTCGAAGGGGCCCTGGGACACGCGCATAAATAGACACAACTAACAGGGTACCCCATATTTCCCCATGTTTTCTGGGTTTTCGTCTTCCCCCCCACTTCCCACACCTTCCCACGCCTTCCTGGATCATCGACGATTACTTCTGTCTGTGAGCACCTGCGGGCACTCTGCGAGCTGCGCGGGCCTGCGGCTGCCCGCGCCCGGCGCGGCGCGGCGCGCGGCGCGGGCGCGGGCGGCCCGCCTCGCCCTTCCTGCTGTAGGCGCCTGGGCGGGGAGCGGGGCCGCCGCCGTGCCCCCGCCGCCGCCCTCCCGGGGCCTCCCCCGCCCTCCCCGGGTGGCGGCCTCGCGGGCAGGGCGGGGATGTCCCTCCCCAGGGCCTTGCTCCCATCTTGCAGAATCACGATGCATCGACGATGCGGCGCGATTCTCTGACCCCATCTGCTCCAGCCCCATTTTGGAGGCCTGGACCCCCTGGCATGCCCAGCGGGTGGGGCTGAGAGTGAAAGAGCCGTACCTCAAGCTGCACTCTCAAGCCCTCTCAAGCAACCCCAACCCCACATCTACACCCGAAAACCGGGACAAGGGACCACTTTTGATGTGGCACTATCCGCCAATCATCTGGGCAATACGAAAAAAAATCACTCCCCAAAGCATTACTCTCATCTTGCTAATTACGATGA